GTCCGTGTACAATATATCAATAAGTTTTATTTATTTAGTTGTATGTGTGACAATTCACTAACTGTTTTCATTTTATTTGTTTTTATTGAATAGAACAATAAGACAATTAAATCTACTCAAAAATTGTTCGAAAAAAAAAAAAAGAAAAAAAGAGTTGATATTTCATTTGAAAAGCTTGGGAAAATTAAAACATATAGGAAGACTGTATGATTTAGAAACTGGGCTAAAATATTTTATTTTTTAAAGCAATTAATCCCTTTGATAAAAAGACAAAGATTGTTGTCTTCTTATTATATTATGGAAATTCTATTCTTTCTTATTTCATACTTTGAAGTTGAGCATTAGGCTTTCATGCCCTGGTACGGCCGAGAGTGGGGAGAGTTCGCTCTCCCTCTCGAAATGCTCTCACATGGCCATGTGTATATAGCCTCTGCCAGGGAAGTCCTATTCACTGCCTTCTCGTGGCGGGGTCGTTGTTTACGAAAATGAGAGGACGAAAAGCGAATTTCCGGCGCTTTAACCGGATCCAAAACCAATGGTGCACATGGGCTGGCTCCAGTATCTTGAAGGAACAAATGGCGTATGAGCCAATCGTTGTTCACCGGCTACCATGGGACTGCATCTCCTTACGATGCTCCACTGCCTTGTGGGTCAGAACTTCAGGTCAAAGGCTCGGGGTGTGGCCCCCTAAGAAAACCACCTGCTTCGGTTTCGGCACCCGTGCAGTATCACAGCCCTCACACAAATCAATTGAGATTCGTGTGGCGCATATGGATTTGTTGCCTCCTTGTACCGATATCTATGTGTTAAAATAAATAAATACTGTTAGACACAGTAGACTCATTTCCCTATGAGTCATAATAAAATCCTTGATCTAGCTTTATATCAAGACATTACTCCATCTGAACAATTGAATAAAGAATTTGCGAGCAGTGACCACTTTACTCGCAAACAGTAACTTTGCCTGTCATTTAATACTGCTTATCATACATAATCTATTAGCGACAATTATGTATTTACAAGACTCATTACTATTTATATAGATATTTCGTCAATAATTCTGTATTTTAAAATCTCATCATTGATGGTACGTTTTGCATACACCTTATTAACAAATCTGTCTCAAATGTTCAGTCGGAACAATTTACCAGTTAAGTCTTTTTAAATAAGGTAACTTCTTTATAAAAAGTGCTTCCTCTCCTTTAGTTTCAGTGTGAAGATGCTTGAAAATTAGCATGGATTAAGTTAACACTTTGAAATGAATTACTGTAATAATGCCCTCTAAAAGATGATTACATGGTGCTGTTTGAGTAAGTTTCATGTAGCTTCCTAACTCACAAAATGTACGCGGGAAATACACGATGAATAACATAACAACATAGACATAGACTTCTATCCAAAAACTTTTCTAAATAGATTTCTTGCCATCAATGTATTTTTTTAACATACATCGTTATATTTAATAAGTACTTCAAGATTTAAATACTTCTTAGTCGACGATATAACACCTTTAATTCAACCCGATATCTTGAGTCTATTCGGAATTGTTAATTCGATAGAATGTTCGCGACGATTTGGTTTTTCTGAGGAATATTCAAATGCCTACGAAGTAATTTACAAAGTTTTGGCTCCAACGTTAACTATAGACTTATAGTAGTCGGTGATTAAGTTAATTAACCCCTAGAATCCATTATTTTCCTTTTACTATACAGTATATAAAGTGTGAAAATCAACATTTTTTTATATATGAGAATTTGAATCGACATGAAATTATCAATAAGAGCAATTAGATTACCAGTTAGTACTATCTTATGAACGACAATGCAGAACAGTGCGGATCTCCAAATTTCCGCAGTAGGCGAACACCCATACATTAATATACATTTACTAAAATCCCAGAAGATGGAGCTCCTGCATAGATCTCGCCAAACATCAAGCTATTAGAGCTGATGAGAATTCCAAAATAAGTAATAAGAGTATCCGACCAACTACTTTACAAAGCGAGACATTTTGTGTAACAGTTAATAACTAACTCAAAAGTTATCTCGTGTGTCAAACCAAATTTTTTATTAAGATAAGAAAGTAGCACGTGAAAACTCCCATATATCTAACCAAAATGTGAACTACATGAAAATGAATCCCATATTGAAAGTAACAAAATTGTGACAACTGTTAACCCTTTCTGTTATCAATTAATAATAAAAATTAAGTTAAAAGAATAAATTAACTGATAATTTGTGTCGGTTCCAAAAGATTGTTTAACCCACTTGTTTAATTAGTTCAGGTATATACACATTCTCACTTATTAGATCCTGTAAATCATACTAATAAATTGCGATGCTTTACCACCAAATGCTACTCTCCACTTTTAAGGTTTCATCAACAATAAGAATCTACATATTAACATACATGTGTTAAGTATGAGCAAACCCATCTATTTAGTAGTGACTTCTTATACTAAACGGCCTATCTTAGCAAATTAATATGCTACTACAGTAAAAACTTTTCAGTTTCCATTAATTAAACAAAATTTAGTGAGGCTCACTATGATACAAAAACATTCCTATTATTTGAATGTACGGAGTCGATTATATGTCTTTTATTTTGAAAAAAATGTCCTTCGATCCTATTGTAATCAAAGCAAATGTATTTTAACACTTACTGAAGCTGAGAGATTTTAATTACATGTCTTGAATATCATAACACTTTTATCACTTGGAAAGATAGTTTCGGAATATTACTGAAAACAAACAATCTTAATAATTCAATCGTTTTAATATAACTTAACAATGCTTCGAAAAAATAGGCAGTGGGACACTTTGTAGCCACTCAATTTACTACCATGATCTGCAAAATCACTGAAAGTTATTGAAACCCCGTTAAATTCCGCCTTATGCATCAGGAAATAAAAGTGACAATAATCCACACATTTCAATCATAAAAACGTAATTACTGATAACTATGCAGCCTGTTTTAACACTCGATACTATTGCTTTAAATGTCAGCTACCAAGAAACTAAGGTTCAGTCTGATTTGGGGATCACAACAGCCAGATGAGTCTAAGGAAATACGCCTCGAAAACACGAGTGGTCGGTCAGTCACAAGATACGTAAAACCTCGTACATATGTGCATTGGCTGAAGTTTCCACTAGCGTAGTGAAATGCGTGATCAAGACAAATCCAAGAAAAGCAGAATTGGTAAAAGCACTAAATGTTGTACAAAACATTAGGCACGGAGAAAGAAATCATTTTGGCACTCCAGATTTAAATAAACACAAAGGCAGAATGCACCTCATCCGTCTCATTAACCATTACCCGATACCAACTGGGTAATCCGCACCTACCTACACCACTTAGGAAAAGTCAGAAACTTGGCGAACTGATGACACGTCTTGGTTTGCCTGCCCCTACCTTTCTTCTAGTCTCCTACACCACAAAACGTCGCGCGTCGAAATGGGCGGTGGTTAGGCATATGCAACATATGCCCCAACCACCTCAGTTGATGATGATTCACTATGTAATCGACCAGTTTTTCCTATCTTTACTTAGTGCCCTGCATCTAACCTCAGCATTGCTCATTCAATGGTACCAATATAAACAGACAGTGTTTCGAGGACACCTATGGTCAAATACTTGTTATCTACGATTATTCTTTGGTTTCGAAGGTCATGTCCCACAGTCATAAGGTAGAACCAAGAGAACTGATGTCAGTATACTCGTTCTTTGGTTTGCGAACGGATATCTTGCCTGCGCCACAAATTATCCAGGCTGGTAAAGGTTAATCGGGTTTTCTGAATTCGTGCCAAGATCTCGCCAAACTTCAACCCACTAGAGCTGGTGAGACCTTCAAAATAAGCGAAATGGTCGGTCCGCCCAGCTACTTTACCTCATATAACTAACTCAGCTGCCGAAGCAGACCAGCTCTGATGCAATATTTCCCATTTATATGCAGAAAAATATATGCACCTTAATATGTAAGAGTTGACCTAGAAATTAAAAGAGCAAAATAAATTTGGTTGCTACAGGATTGAACATAAAAACGGACACTTTGCAAGTGATAATACGAGAGAAATTGATCGGAATCAAGATGACCGACGCCTATCAGCAGCTAATCGTACCCAAGCTGTTGTAATTGATTAGTTCCTAATGATAATTTGAACGTGATCTTGAATTTTACGGAATATATGTTATCAGCCAATCACAAACTAGCTTATAGAAACCTGAAAAATATACTATTGCGGAGAAAGGCGAATGTGCAGTATTAGAATGTCATATCTACACGAAAAATAGTCGAATTGTTGAAATGTCCTCAGGCTGTGGAAAAACTTTGACATAACAGTATAAAAAACTCATCCTGACTTTAATTACTAATGCAATAGCTACTTTCGCTGTTTCTCTCACGACTTTCATCATCTAACCACGAAACAACAGATTTACTAACAAACATAGGATCCAGAAAATCGGATGTATAACAACGAACGAGTAAACCAGGAAAAAATTACTGTGTAACCACCTGAGACTACTTCATAGAATCCTTGAAGTGGCAACCTGAAATTATTTCTAATAAAGAGGAGGGACGTCTAAGTGTATGTATGAATAGCATAAGATCCCATGGTCTTGTCTTAGCTAGTGACAACTTACCGCTCTCCAACCGAACTGGCTGGGATGGTTGGAGCTAAAAAAAGGAATGTTACAGCCAATAAAGATAGACTTGGCTATCATGATATGCAAGCCCGAATTCCATGTCAAGGTGAGATTTCATACAATGATCTTATTCAACGTACTAGAACTACATATTGAGTTTAGTTTATCATAGTATTTAAGTTATCTTTAATCTTTTGTTCGTATATCCATTAATTTTCGTTCGATCAGTCGATCTGGAGTGTGATTTTGGTTGATGCAATTGTATATGCCTTGTTGAAGATTATAAATTTGTCTTAGTATTATTAATATAAAAAATTCAGGTGATAAACGCCAGTACAATTCAGAAGAAACATATTCCAAAGCGAACATTTATTATCAAAACATCATTTGTATGGTTCAGAAGATCCATATTTGTAAATAAGCTTGATAAACATCATCGAGAAGAAATTGCTACTTGTTCGGAAGGGATATTGTTAAAATAATAATAGGATGCGGAACAAGTATTTCAAGTACAAAGATTTTGAAGAATGTGCACTTGTTATTTCCTGCATAGATGCCAAAAGAATCAAAAGGAATGCATAAATATGCTGGCCTGAGTAATTGCACGAATATGTTCCAATATTTTACTTTTGGGTTTAGTTAATTCTCTGGAATATCTTGAACATATTTTAATCAGGATAGAAAAAAGTGGGTGACTAAAAAAACGCCGCAAATAGAGGGAAGTTCTGTCTAGAAGTCAAAGAGCCAACAATCACGACTAAGAAAAAACTTCAATAAAAAATTGTACGAAATGACATACATTCTGTTTATAATTACTTGCACGTAACTACGTGTCGTAAGTCACAGATTCAATCATAATTTATCAAGAACACATTCATTTAAAGTAGTGGTCACTAAGATACATTCGTACAGAAAATTCAATTACGGAAATTGAAGTTTTTGAATTCAGTAAACAGTCAATAAAAACACTACTAGAGGTTATTTAAAAATAGGCCAGATTTGTTCTGCGAAGTCAAGTAGCAAATTTAATGATAATATCATAGAAACACTAACAAGAACAGTGATGTAGTTGATCATAAAAAGTATTGTACAACGTTAAACGTTGGATTATTAATTATGCAAAATATTAAATGAAATACAATCTTTAGTCATGATATCAAAACAATAGATGATAAGTCACACAACAGAAAAGATTGATAAACAAGATTCTTACTTTGCGATATGCAACCCATAATCGATGGAAAGAATATATGTATATATCAAGGGAAATTTTAGACAAAATATATTTATTTCAGAATCCGAACTGCGGATTTTCACAGTTGGTTTCATACTGTAAGGCACTATTGTATATATGGCGAAATTTAATCGCTAATGACAATAGCAATAATAATAATAATATCAGCTAGGAAGATGATTCTGAATTACGGTTCTTGTGAAACTAAGCATACACACATCGACTGAGATATAATTGGACTACTACCATTTACAGGCAGACGATACATAAACAGTGGAAAAGGCAAAAAAAACCGAAAGCCCAAAGTAAAAATATGAAACGGTCAATTCGTTATAGTTCTTCCCTTTTTGAAATAAGTTTAGGATGAATTTTCAACAAACAACAAGTGTAGGAATGTACGAGAGGGTGCATTTTGATATCTGATCGACAATGAACTAGATAAGCCAGAAAAACTAGTGTTATACGAATAGCTTCACCCGGTATTAGATGATGAAGTGTCTACACTGGAACCGTTTACTATAGATTGCGAATCACTAGTAACAGATGAACCGATACCAACCTGTGACGACAAACTGTGAGTAAAACATGATACAGCTGCAGCGACAGCATTTGCATGCTCTGGACCAAGTTCTGAAATTGGTGTTGCAAGTAGGCTTTTACGTAAAGCTTGAATAGCAGTAGATACTTTTACAGCAGGACCCAGTTTCATACCTAATACATGCATCAGATCGTGTTGTTCAAGGCACAATAAAGCAGCTCCATCTATTTCCTAAAAAAGCAATGAGAATAACATGATAAGCATAGGCTTTAGTATTCTAAGAGAACCAAAATATATGGATACTTAATTATGTGGAAAAACGTTCTCCTATAACACAGTGAAATTTTTGTTTGATTATATATAAACTCAAATCAAGAAGATGCTGCAGAAAATAGGTAGTAGCAGATCCAAAAATGTTAATGTGGATTTTACTGGTGAAATGTCTTGTAAAACTAAAAAATATATCTATTTTGCTACACTATATAACACTAGTGTTTTAACATTAGTTTTACTCAACTGTACATCTAGTGCTTGTAATAGTAAATTTGCAGGAGTAACAATTATTGTTTATTGTGTATCTTCGGTGAAGTTAGAGTTTACCCGGTATTCTGATATTCTTTATAATTGGTTCAATTACACCAACCATCTGCTTAATTGGAATGATGTCACACCTTGATTTGACCATTCCCAGTTTCTTCAACCTACTTCTTTGTAAGACAATGATTAAATGTCGGGTTAAGCAGTGGTAAGGCATTTATATCGAATGTCATAGCCAAACCAGTCAATGAAGAAATGTAGTCTCATAAGTAGAATGAGCCTTTCCATCTAGTATCAGTAAAGCGATCAACGCTTTTCACTTCCCCACTCCTTACCGTTAAACTAGACACAGACCAATCTTGGATAAATATTTCGCACATGGAGGGTGAGAAACGGATTCAAAACATGCTTCCATTGTTACTTAAAGTCAATAGAAGACTCTGCATTTGTCAGTCTTCACGAAACAAGAGTATTCCAGGAAGTTAATCCCTAATAAGTCAGATAAAGAAAGCACTACTGGGAAATATCTACAGAAAAACTAAATAGAAATAAGATAGGTTGTCCTGATGAATACCACTTGACAGAGTTAATTCAAAAAAAGCCACAAGTTTCAATTTGATCAACAGTGTCCGAACAAAGAGGCTGTAGAAGGTTTATGTGCCCCATAGTATGTCTTTAAATAACAGACTATCGTAAGATCTCTAGATTAATGGAATAAAGTTATGGGAAATCATGGATAAGTATCTCTATGCTGTTTGACGAATCTAGATAATTGTTAAGTGTTATCTATCGCCGCTGTCTTCTTCATTTCCATTCACTTACTTAGATTGACGATCAAACCAAAGAACTATACAATTTTTACCATGGGAGACTCAATATATTTGAGATTTGAACATAACATGTACATCCAGTCGACAAGACCTGGATTTTATTGCTAGTTACTGACAAACATATAATCACTCTCTGTTATTAGTACATCAAGTTGTTTTCCGACAGTAACAAACACAGAAAAACTATCACACAAATATACATAATTGAAGTATTTAGATTAAAAAACAACAAAAATATTGTGGTACATAGTGTATTTAAGACTATTGAATAAAAATGTTAAGACTGATATCCTAAACTATACCAATGCATGATAGGAATTGAGTATAGATTTTACAGCAAACATTAAACTCGACGGATGACCAACACTTACTGTGGATTGGAAAATGTGAGTGACGGATCGTGACAATGAGGACTAGATATAGAGGTTAACGTACCATCAGTCCTGAATTCAATCCGTTTTATAAATTATTTATGGTAAATCTACTTGGTTACACGAATAAAGGTAGAGCATTGTGATCACAGTGAAATGATTATCATATTTATAAAGCGAAAGCAGTAGACCTTTGTTAGACAAATGGAAATATCGAAGTTAGTAAACTAACCATGTTAACAGAAATGTGATTTTTTTAATCAGAAGGTAAAAGAACTTACAAGCATCAAACAAAGCACACTGAGGTAAAATAAGAACTCGTTTTTGCACACATCATACTTGAAAAAATAAATTTAAAGAACGAAACAACTAAAAACCAAGAAAATCTCTGCGTATTAGCTTCTAAGCAAGATATCTATTACATTTAAATTAGCATGGTATTGTAAGCCAATTAAAGCGGAATCTAGTAAACAATATAAGCACATTCTCATGATTAGTTTTTTAATCATTTCCCATCCCATTTTGGCAAACAACGAACTGGGAGTTCACTTCATTATATCACTCTAGTAAAAATAGAGAATGTAATTGTCAAAGATTGGAAAGTTTATGTAAAAAAGTCTGGTGTGAGGCTAGTTTCTAAAAACGGGAAACACCCAACTTATCAATAAAAAGAATATGAAATACTTATTTTAATATAATTAATTCAAAAACTATTTTTCGCTTCGAAATTGCTGCGATATATCTCCGCTATGGAAACAAACTACCATTCAAACCCACAACATACTTCTATGCTCATCAAAAAATCGATAATCAGTTAAATTAAAAAATAGTTGACAAAGGGCAATATATAATTGTCTATCACTAAAATTAGTGACTTAATTTCAAAAAATTACTAGCGATTCGAATCAGAAATATACTTATTGTTGGCTTTTAACTCATTACAAACCAGAGATCTAGAAAGCATCAACGAGTTCTCAGGTACACACTGGAGAAGCATGTACAATAATTTTGTTTAGTTTCAAACAAAAGGAAAATTAAGAGAATTAACTTCTCATGTGGGACTGGGCTTCTAATCAATAGGTCACTGATTCCAAACACCGAGTAGTATATATAGACCCAAAGCTTTGTGGTTCAAAGCCGAGTATATGAACGTGGAGAATGAATTATACTACTATTATTTCTACTTTTATGAAATTAATGTAACTCAGTAATCAATTGCACCTTTGTGGATTAGGTTTTAAACCATGGCTAATTGATGGAAAAGCCACATAGCCACTTAAACTAAATTAGACAGAAATTAGAACTCGTGACAGAATCAACAAAGCCAAAGGTCTAAAGCACTGGTAAAAAGCTTCATCATTTTACAAGAACATTTTTAGAGAATTGTAAGTTAACTGCAAGACAAAGAATTCATGAAGATCAATACTATTTGAAGCAATAATAAATTGATTATGACGAAACAGACACATCTATATTGGATTTTATTTCAAATGGTGAAGATTATTCCTACTATCTCTTCATGTTATGTCCCGATGAGAATAATGAGGGGTAGTTTTTGGGATCCACTTGTGGACCAATACTATACTTATATTTTTATCTTATAACTGTTAATTAACTAAACTATTCGCATTCATGTCTCTCTTATCGTAAGCTTTATTTTAACCTAGGAACTGTCATTATACGATTTTCCATTTTTGAATTATTCCCTGTCTATTAATCGCTACCTCTCACAATCACAGCCACACTTGGCCAAATTTTGTACAAATGTTATTTTCTATTTTATGGTACGTTGTGGTCTGTTTGTTTGGTATATAAACCGAGTATGTTTGAAATACATGATTCATATCGTACAGGCTCGGATTGGTGTTCTGGACTTAACTGGCTGGGCTAGACAGGAAGCGGGACCAATAAGGACTCTAGGCTATTTGTACGGGTTTTACGCGTCATTGGTTCAATCGATAATTCACTGCTCTCTAATAGGCGGTCACAAGTTATAACACTTCCTTATTTTTATCCCTAAGGCAATGTTGGCAATCTTCACCTTTTAGTTTAATTTTCCCCACTGATCTGCTGCGAATCAAAGCAGTAACACAGCTTTTAAATTTTCCAGTTTAGACGGCCAACAGCAACAAAAAGAAAGATAACTGACATTTCTCATTTGTATGGCTGATAACTACTAAGTCTACGTTGCTTCTCAACATCTGCCGAATAAGGCTTTGCATTTTATAGAAGAAAAAAGGAGATGAATTGATTAACCTGAGTAAAAATAAGTCTTTCAAATAATATTAGAAGTACCAAAATCTAAAATGAACCACAGTTTTTGTTGTAAATTTATTGTCTGCGGAGAAGAAACATATCAAATAATTCAGAAAGGTATTGACGATTTTCTATTTATAACTGTGGTACAATAAATATTTCGAAATGATCGTTCAAAGAAACAACTTTGATAAATCTAAACAATGAGCTAAGTAGAATCTTGGTAGTGGTATTGATTACACTACATTAAATAAAATGAAAGATGAGTTAATAACCAGTAATCAAGTAAAAACAAGTATTTGACTTACATTTTCAATGAATTTACAAGCGAATTGTTTGCATCCTGGCAGTGTAGAAATAAAATTAGCTACAACATTTGGATTCCAAGAATGAGGTCCAGGAAGGCCAGCAACTTTGGCTGCACGGATAGCTGCCCCTGCCTGTGGTAATAAACGACCCATTAAATCAAAGTCCCTCAATGAGGGATTATTCAAGCTACTGACTGGAGCATTCACATAACTTGAAGAGGATAGATCAAAAGATGGTAATAAACATGATGGCCTTGCTGTATCAATATAGAATGGAGAAGATAAGACAGGATTATGACATATAGGAGGCATGAATGACCCGTTAGTCACATCAGGATACCATCCAGTATTTGGTGTCTCGATCAAAGATTGAGGAGGAGGAAGACTATTACTAGCGTTGATGATCGTACCTGAGGTATTCATAAACGTTAGGTGCTGAGTGCGATTAGAACACAGGTCAACAGGAGTGATTTCTTGAGTCAACCTGGCATTTATAGGATAGCCCGTAGTCGGATCATTTATTGCAGCTAAGGTAGAAATGTGCTGCCCAGGAATTTCATAACCAGAAGATGATCTTAAGCGGTCGACATCCATGTAACCCATGTTAGTATTGATGCAAGTATTAGTTAAAATACTGTCAGCGGGACTTGGTTCTGAACTGCATGTGACAGACTTAAGTACATCGATGTTTTTGAGGTTATTAGATTCCATATTATGGGGGAGGAAACTATCACTTTGACAATCTATTGGCGGATGAGAATTGGTAGTTACATTCATACTGCTACAAATTGATAATGTAGATGTAACAGATAACGAAGAAATCGGAACTGCAGCAGATGAAAGAGTATGATGTTGGGTTGATACACCAACCGGATATGAGTGTCGTCCAGTAGACGTAGTATATGATTGCGGTAGAGATGTCAAGGAAGTGAAATGAACAGGACGTGACTGTTGTAAGGATGGATGGAGAACATGTACAGAAGTGTATTTCCTAGGCCGACCTCGTTTACGTTTTATAGGTATAGGGGATATTCCAAGATTCTTTGTATATTCATCTGATTGGTCAGCAGTATGAGACAGAAGGTTGGAAGGAGACACGCTGTCGGGGTTAGGTTCTAATTTACTTAACTTCTGTGGTCTAACTGAGTCATTAGAATTCATGTTTGATTTTGTGCTTGAAGATGCAACATTAATAGAAGATTCATTTGATAAGACTATTACATTGGTTGCGATTTCAGAAGATAAATTTGAGTTTTCACATTGAGGCACGGCACTAATATTAAGAATTTTGAAAAAGGAAAAGTGAGAGTCATGTTTATATATGCATAGTACCGGAAAGCAGTTTATAAATGTAAACCTCCTGAGAACTAACAAAAACGTAATCTGGCAAGAAAATTTATCGACAACACAGGTTAGATAAAGCCAAAACAAGTTAAGATGGTGGGGAAATATTTTACTTCTCAACAAGCCTAATACAATCAAACAGGTCATTAACACTAACGTGAATAGAAATTTAACAGGGATATTTTATTTGACAATTAATTAACTACAAAGGGGAAATTCGAGGCAGAGATATATTATAAAAATGAATACCAACTATGGGGTTAGATACGTATACTGAAACAAAAAAGTGCGACTGCATTATTTAAACTACATCAGAAAATCTTTAATTTAAAATAAATGGTACAGAACATTGAACTCAGACACAGAAACAATTAACAAGTAAAGCAATAACACAAGAATCATAAATGAATATTCAAGTGATTGTTGTGATTATCGAGAATACAGATTTTTCACCTTTTATTAGTTAACAGTAGAAAGAAATCATGGTGAATGAAGAGTCCATACAAAACCAGGTTAAAACGTGAAGACCAGCTTCCAATGTCCAGATGTAGAAAATGAAGAAAAATTTACATCTAAAAATGACCAGTCATTACGTTAAGAATATCATTCTCATTGAAATTCCCCAGATTAAACACTGAAATAAGCGAGAAAATGAGGAAAAATTTTCTACTCACAAACGAGATACGAAAAAAACAGCACAAAATCTGGCAAACGATTTCCTGTGTTGTCTGATGCATTAAAAAAGAATTAGATAACATAACCGCTTAATAGTCAAACTGTTAAACAAAAATGAGTTTACTATTGAGCAATAAACAACCCTTCTTGGTTCATGGTTATAATAAGATAAAAGTTCATGTACATACTATGTTATAGAAACGACCGTTGATTGAGACACAACTATCTTACAGTTGTCACATAGCAAACATACGTTGACGTGATCAATTTTTATTATTGACTACTCTATTACTGGTTGGAAAACTCATACAATTATGTTGCGCAACATATACATAATAAATACAGAAATCGAATTTGAATTACTCAGCTTGTAAAGTGGAAAGTAATTAGTGTGAAATATAAAGCCTAAATACGTTGGAGTCATGTACAAGAATTCTCAGAAACAATCCACCAAAACAAAACTAGAGGCTTCTTATAATACATAAAAAGAGTTCGAATACTACTGCTGTTAACAATGTAAAGTCACACAACTATTTTAGATGTGGCAAATTATCTATTGTCTCCTTTGTAGCAGTAAGTACAAACCGACTAAGTTTATTCATTCGCGGTGACTTATGCTAAGAGGTTATTTCAACACTAAAAGTTATTTAACAGACAACAGTTTAAAACATTTACTCGCCTACTGCTAACATATTAGATGAAACAATCAGGAGGATGAGATCAAATAACTCACCATAAAGAACGACCCCGTCTATTTAGTAAACATTCGTTTGGTGACTCTGACCGAAGAATGGCAATCTTATGACTGTCTCACACCCATGACCAGAAAAATAATCCCAGTCCCTTTATGGTACATTCCCTGTTTGTGCAAGATAAAGACAGCAACCAACAACTATATTATGGAGAGTAATTTATGTTTCGGTGATTATCATGCATCAGAAAGGTAGACTAATTTCAGATGTCATTCTCAATAAGATGGCATGCATTTATTTGTATACTTAATTTCATATTAGTTTTTTGATGGCGAAGTAGCACTGACGCTCACACAAAACACATTATGCATTACTTTTCTGAGACACCGTGTTATCAAAGCATACTTTACTTATCTTCTGTAACCCAGTATCTTATAGAAAACTACTGTTTGTCAACTGGGAAAATTATAATCGCATTTGGAAACAAAGGGAGTTACACTCTTATATACTCTATACAATACTAATTAAACTAAGTTTACTTCTGTGATATAATAATTGTCATTTGTAAGGATTACTGTTATCTAGTCGACGTTACGGACTGCAATCGATACGTTTCATATCAGTATCCTAAGCAGATGTTCTCGATATTCCCGTCCATTTACAAGTTTTACTTGATATTTGATAGTGGTTAGTAATGGAATCTAGGATGTGTGTTTGGCAATATCTAGGACTCGTCAGCTGGATGTACCAGGATCGTATTCTTGATCCTCACACTGACGCTCGAACTGTTAGTTTGAAGAGGAAGATACTAAGTTGAAGGTATATCCAGCTGACAAATCACAAATAGGACGAAACGGATACGTAAATCGTACTGCTATACATTATCCACATTCAAAAATAACTGCTATTTTAAGCCTTTAGGCTATCGATTTCGTGCAGAGTATAAGGACTATTAAATTGCAAAATGTTGAATAGATGAAGTATCTGAAAAATTCTGTAGTCATCATAAAGTGAATGTGTTTCTTATGAAGATAATTTTGGTCGAGCAAGAAAGTGTTGAGCTAATGAAAAACCTGCTCTTTCTCAAATATATATACATATATTCTTAGGGAATACTCTAGAAGAGTATTACATGCCGCAATGAGAAGCGGCATAACAGACTAATAAAAACTGTGTGAGAAGAAGTGAATAAAACCATACTCTAAAATCTATTTGTACGATTGATAGTGAAGAAGAATACAGTTATCTTGCCTACATAATATTTGACATTCATAGTATTGGATAAAAATGATCAAAACGAATAAATGTTCCAATGGATTTAGTCGTTTGTTGCATTGATGTAAATTTTAAAATGAGGAAATTATACTTTTTAAAAGTACAGGAAATATCCAATAAAAACAATCAAACATGATAAGGTATAGACATCGATAAGTGTGAGCGAAAATCATATTACTCAAATGGCTTAAGAAAACCGAATTGAAACTTTTGATCCTCAACTTTATATCTCACTAGATATAACTGACAAACATTGTCATATACGTAAACCAAATCAATCTCGGTACTTGAAAGACGATCACGAAGACAAATGTATGCGATGTTATTTGAAGACAGACTTCTATCAATATTTTATGCATTTAAAAAACTTAGTGAACAATCGTAATTCAATAAGTTTAAGAGAATTAGTCATGAGTCAGTCAATTCATATGGTAAATGAATGTACATAAGATAAAGAAAACTAACGACGAAGATTTACATTATGAATTAGGTAAGTACAATGAAACCACTAGATTTACATAGTTCTGAGGAATAAAATAGTCGGGATTTACATGAGTTTATGTTGAGAAGAGGATATGGAAAAATAGAAAACAATGGTGATGTCACTACATTAAAAACACACGAGTTAAATATTATCAGGGTCAATAACGATTGACAAAACATTCTTTAAAAACAGGTTTAAAAATAATTTATTTTGAAACGCTATCAATAAAGTGTACTTAAATTAGAATAATTTACTTATCTAAAGAAAGGATTTATTATAAGATGTCAGGCAATCACATGGCTGCAGATACATAAACTGAAATGTGTTCAGAATATACCCAAAATCTTGATTTAATGCATCACCTACTTTATTATGTGTAATTAGTTGACAAAAAATTATTCACACTGAAATGAATGCAAAACATTTCGATTTGGTCGATATTTTAATCCTCATAATGTTCATACGGAAAATAAACCGGGAAACACTAACGAACTGAGTGCTAGTACTACACAGATTTTTTATGAGTAGAAGCTGAACTTGCGAATTATTAAACAAAATGGAAAGCGCATGAAAATGGTATTTCTATTGCCTAATATAAACACAGTACCCAAATATAACTCCAGAGTACTTTTGACGCTATGGATGGAAGTTGATAACAAAGGATCGTTAGAAATGTAGATACAAAAGACAAAATCCTATTGGTCAATTGGCGGTGGATAATCTTTCACTTGACAACCGATCACGAAGGTGACTCTAAATTATTGAGACAATAATAGACTAGAAATTACTAGAAACAATAAATGTAATTAAGAAAGCATGTAGTAAGCTTTCTATTAAATCAACTACGTTGATGTTTAAGATACCTGACTACTAAATAAACTGACAATTTTTTCGTATAGGATTTCTTATGTAAATTAAACCAGTGAAGCAAAACTTCGTAATCTTTGATTGAGAGATGCAAAATAATAAAAATCCAGATATCTCCTCAGTCCCTTTTAAAGTAATGGGTTAAGTGTTCAAAAAGGATGAGAAGTATGAGAGAACAGTGTTAAAAGATTACACGAAAAACGAACAAATCATCAGGAAAAAATAACCTACCCAGTAGCGATTGCTGAAGAAAAGGAGTTTGAAATTTCAGTTCTTAAAGGCACTTCTTTCGGTGAGAAATCAGGCAACTTTTCAAGTGTTAAGTTTAAAGGCAACACGTTAGATTGAGGGGATTCATTTGGAAGTGAACTCTGGACAGAAACAGCAGGACTACTGGTTGAATGGAGGTTGTTTATCACAGGCGAAAAACCAGGTGAGGTTGTGACAACGCTATCCGCAATAGAAAATTGCAGTGTAACTGAATTACCTGATACAGAATCTGGAACTTTGGTATCTAAATATGGACATGCTACGAGAGAATAAGATGTAACAACAGTGGAGGTATTATTTGAAGAGAATTCACTTTTGACAGTAGAATCCGGAGAAAGACGTTGACCTGAGTTACGATTAGGAGGATTGTAAGCAGAAACCGAGGCCATTGTTGCACTAGAATCGGGGTTTTCTGAATCAACAGAAAAAGGAGAACTGGATGTTAATATATTAGTTGAGCTTAGACGTTCATGTGCTCTAATAGCATCTTTCTTAAGGTTACTATCAGCATATGGGCATCCTGAAATGCGCTGATGAGTGAAATAACGAGGTCCTTTGATATGCCCGTAACCTTTGCAACCGGGAGTTGGGCACCCGCCAAATGGGTTGGCAGTCCCACTACAGCTGAGTGAACTGGCAGAAGAATTAGAATAAGAATCCATTAAATTTCCATTTAAATCCAATTCAGAATCATCTATAAAAATAAAATAAACGAATCAGATATTATGATTTTAAAGGAGCTATTATTTAGGGACATCTCAAGGCCGACGAAACAGAACAAAGATATCGAATTTACAAAAAAACATTGAAAAAAATTCTTAGCAAGGTTATGATGAAACTAAAAAATACCAAAAATTAACACAATATAAAATGCTTCCCTGTTTAAGTCCACTGAATAAAGACACCATTTCGATATTCATCTCAAGAAATAATTCGTCAACAAAAGCTGAATAGGTATAAAAAAGGCATAACGAAAAAATTAAGCGGAAGTAAGTGGTAATAAAATTAATGTCAAGTTTTCATCTTTATTTTTCACATAAGCATTAGTTATGTGGCACCAGGGAAATGAGATTCTATCTAGCAGAATATAAAAACATCCGTCTTTTTTTAATCAGTGGAAAATTATGTGAGCAAAGGAAAAGAGTGAAAGGTATTTGGTATTTAATTGATAAAAAATTTGAACATATTAAAACAATTATTCTGGACAAACATGATGAGCTTCATAAAAGTTGCTTTTTAAAAAATTGAAACATAAACCACTTATTTAGTCCAGTGGGAAAAAAGTGGATACGCTAGATCAGGTTGCTATAATAAGTAATAATTGTCTTGACGAGGGAAGATTAGATAATATAGTAAGGACCGTTCTGAGGTTTGGCTTATTCGCGACTAATATATCAACAGATGCATGGAAAATTAAAATGTTACGTTACTAAACAAGAGTCAAAATCGGTCGTGATATATATATATATATATATATATATATATATATATATTGATATAGCCGTTTTATGGTCAATTTTAAACTATTTTTCCAATTTAGAATTTACAAGCTAGCAACAAATAAGAAATGTTAGGCTTTTACTAGGTGGTGGTTAGCGAATCACACGATCAGGTTTTACAGTGATAAGAAACAACAGTTAGAGATCTACCAATGAAAACACGATAAAAGTTGGAGAAAAATAAAATTTTTATAATCAATACATTTAATAATTCGTATATCCTTTTTCCTGATACACAATGTACCTATACCGATTTAGGTGTGGGTTTTTAAAAATTTTTAGGATGGTTTCGATTATAGTTTCCTTTGATTTTAGGGTGATGTGAATTTTAGCTCTCAAAACACTGATAATAATTATTAGTCGAAAATTAGAAACTTACATCCCGGTGGGACTTGTAGAGGATGTCCAGAAGCATGACAATAACCAACAGGAAATAAATCAAGAGACGACACCTCTATACGTACGTTGTATTTATCAGGCCAACCATCATATCCTAGGGTGAGAAATCCAGGAGGGGTGTTATCTACAACATTGGCAACACGAACCAATGAAGGGCACCGTTTATCCACAGCCTCTAGACGTTGGTTTATTAGAAACTGTTGGGATGATCTAGCGAATTTGGTTATCTACGTTGTGGATAATAAAAATACTATTAAAAAGTAATGATATTCTTGTATAAACATTTTAAAAATAGGGGCAAGAAATACTCATCCTCCCTCTAAATTCACTATCATAATTCACATTTATGGAGATTGACATTAATAAAATATATCAAGTAGAATGTTTTGGGTTTTTTGCGCACACGATCTATGCAATGAAAGACGGGTTAGTAAAAGAGGCTTAGTGAATGTAGTAATCGCTAGATTTTAATTTAACTGATATATTAACAGTAGACGAACAAATGATGGTTCAATGAGAGAAATTTTGAGGTTATTTTCAGCTCATGACTATTGCATTCCCACTGATCTTGAGAATGAGGAAAGCTAGTAATCCATTGATTTATAGATAAATGTACAGGGATATATTGGATAATGCTCCTTTGACGAAGGCTTTATTCCCACATGATGGACTATAAGATACAAAAGAAAACTACTTTTTAGATTCATGTTACTGTTTGTTTCACTTAGTAGTACTGAAACTATGAAACTTGATAATCGATCAAATTTTACGCTATTTCCACAGAGTCCTTAACTGAATTAGTACTGGAAAAACCGTGAGTCAGAAATCGCAAGTAGGAAAACGGTGATAAGGATTTATTTGACTACCAAAATAAATCAGAAAAATACATGAAAAAACTACTTTTACGATTTATTTAACCAGAATATCATTCACATACGCATAGATTGAACTTAGTATATAATACCAATTAATCAATTACCTACTGTTTAAACAAGTATTTATAATTAAATAAAATTAGACGTCTATAACCAGTAGATATAACCAATTCACAAAGCTATGTGATTACATGTCACAGAAGATTGGAAATCTCATGTCTCATTCGCACTCCAATCGATTTATATACTGCTGACCATATCACTTTATATAACATAAAAGTGATGATACAGATACAAATAGAAATTATTTCCTTTCGTAACACGTATTGCGTCATGAAACCCTATTTTTCGTATATGACTATTTTTCCGAAGAAGTTCAACGGGTCACTTAATGCAAATAAAATATATATTGACAGGATAGGTAAAGTTTAATTTGACAATCCTATAAGATAAACAACACCAAAAAATATACATGGGAAAACATGAAGGAAGCCCCAGTAATAACAGAGAAGTTTCACGATAAATGAGAAATGATGAGTTCATAGATCGTATAATAATGAAATTCATTATAGGCAATTTAATTTCTGTTGTCTGATCAAATCAGTGAGAAAGGTATTTTTTTATCTTTTGGAACTAAGTAAACATGTACGTTTTTCATGATGCATTTAATTATCAAGGTAGTGTGTAAAGACCTATTTCATTCGTAGATTGGGTTTGTCACGAGCTGGTATTGACTAAAAAAAGGTTGAACCGGCTATTTATTCTATCCTTGTTTGAGACTGATTTCAGTTGGTAATGATAACTATTTTTATAACTGGTGTTAAAATATATCTAGTAACCATTCTATACTAGTACAGAATAACATGATAGGATATGTAATTGACTTGATTAGCTCCATTCAACCAATCAATAAAAAAGTTAGAAAACAAAATACAATACGATCCACGCATTTTTACTTAAACACATGTGTACCAATAGTGAACTTTACAGTTAGATTATAATTTTACAGTCAGATTAATTAGAATTTTATGAGCATTTGAAAATAAACCAAACCAAGAAAATAGGATATGAGTTAAAAGAGAATTTAGAACTGACCAATATTACCTCATCAAATGCTTCTTTAGGTACAGGCTTTGAATTTGTCTCTTTCAGGTAAAGTTTCCAACTAAAGCCATTACGACGGTTGCTCCAATCTATCGAGAAAATGAAGTGTTATCGATAAAAGAAAATTCTGTAGTTATTTAATGCTCCTAAACCGGTAAGACTAAGTTTGCACTTAGGCTTGGGTTTGCGCGCTGTCCGACTAAACGGAACAGTAAGGACTCGAAAAGATAGGGACACTCGTCGTTGCCTCTTCGTCGTCTCTGCCTACGCTCCCACTGACTGCAGCTCAAATGATGTGAAAGATGAATTTTACAGAAAGCTTTCCGACATTCTCCGAAAAGCTAGGCGCTCTGATGTAGTAATGGTGGCTGGTCACTTTAGTGCTAAACTAGGTAAACTAAGCGAAAGGGAAAGACACCTACGTGGATCTTATGAGGAAAAACATCTCTTAACATGGCGACCCTCGAATTCGTCCCAACGTTGGACCCAAATAGATCACATCGCCATCAGCCACCGATGGAGGGGGTCGATAGAAAACTGTCGCTCATTCTGGAGCACATGCTTAGACTCAGATCATGCTCTAGTGCGAGCGCGTATCTGTCTGCGTCTTACTGGACGTAGGAAAGATAATGCAAAGAAACCTCTTAGGGTCCTACTTAATGATAGTCAAGTTAAGAGTATATATATATTATATATCCGGGAGATCGGATCGATGGGCAGAATACTTTAGGGATCAGTTCAACTGGCCTTCAACCACACCTCGGTTTCCTACGATCTCCAATCTACCTGAATGGCAAATTAATGTAAGTCCTCCAAATCTTTACGAAGTTGAAAAAGCTATAGGAAATCTGAAGCGTGGGAGAGCAGCAGGCCCTGACAGGTTTACCCCTGAGATTTTTAAGGATGGCGGTCCAGTATTAGCACCGAGATTGACTGAGCTCTTAGGTAGAATTTGGGAACTGGACGTAATCCCATCTGACTGGTCCCAATCACTGATTGCGCCAGTCTATAAGAAAGGACAGAAGTCTTCTTGTGACAATCACAGAGGAATTAGTTTGACCAATATAATGTCTAAAATATTAGCTTCAATATTACTTCGATGCCTAACCAAAGCTCGTGAAGAGCAGACTAGAGAAAACCAGGCTGGTTTTCGACCTGGACGTGGTTTTATAGACCAGATATTCACACTACGTCAGGTCCTAGAATATAGACACACATTCAGACGCCCCACAATGGTAGCATTTCTCAACCTTAAGGCGGCATTTGACTCTGTTGATCGTAAGGTTCTATGGCAATGTTTGTCACTGAAGGGAGTACCAAAGAAGTACATCAACCTTATAAAGGCTCTCTACTCGAACACAACTGGTCGAGTGAGAGCTTATGGAGAACTGTCATCAGAACTGATTACCTCAAGTGGTGTTCGTCAGGGCTGTCCACTCTCTCCATTCGTGTTTAACTTTGTCGTTGACGTGCTTTTAGAAATAACACTTTCCACATCTAAATTTCCAAGGGTTGAACTTCTACCGAAAGATTCACTTGTTGACTTAGAATACGCCGATCACATAGTTCTATTTGGTGAAGACGCTGACAAAATGCAGTCTGCTGACCACTCTAAGCAACAATCCAAGCATGTTCGGCATGAGATTCTCTCCCTCAAAACGCAAAATGTTGCTTCCGTATTGGGTTGCATCTACACCCGAACTAATGATAGGAAGAGAAGTAGTTGAGTGTGTCGACCGCTTCACTCATCTGTGAAGTCTGATCAGCCCTTGTGGTTTGGTGTGTGACGAAATCTCAGCACGGATACAGAAAGCTCGACTAGCTTTTGCCAATCTGAGTCATTTATGGCGTAGGCGAGATATTACTATATCACTACCTCTATCACTACGGAATTAGAATAGATAAATGAATCTTTGTGCTAATGTGGTATGGCAATTCGAACTGCTGTATGTACGTACGATGTTCCACGTTGTTACTGACTGACTTAGGCTCGGGTTTATGTTCATGTTTATTATCTGCAGAAATATTTTTGACACCTATGATTCTACGAAATAAAAAACCAATTAAGGTTATTTGTCATAAAAGAATAATGACTGTTAATGCAAAGCCATCTAATGGACACGACATAAACCTCATCGCATTATATATCTAAATAGATTAACAAGAGCTGAAGCATACATTGAATATGCTTCATTTGTACACTTCTTAACAGCTTTGATCCATGAATATTCCAAAACCAATCGTTTGATATGGTGAAAAACTATTTTTAGGATGTAAACATGTCTACTGAAATGTTTGATAAACATAAAACTTTCAGTTTACTATAATGGTTTATGAAATCCGTATCGAAAATAAAATTAATTTAAGTCTTCCTATAACATTTTTCCCTTAAGTTGATAGGTTCATTAGAATTAGAATTTGATACGTGAATATCAACTTAAATCTCTAATTAGCCTGCACATGTAATGAGAAAGCAAATTACCACACAAGGAATAAAATTTCTACAAAACGTCACTGTGCTGCTATTATTAACCTAACCGTATATGAACATTCGAATCCACTGACTTAGTTAATTAAGGAAAAAATTCAGTATACTGGTAACCACCACTTTGACTACAGTTGTTCTGATCTGAATTAGACGTATCGATAAACCAAGAACGGGATTAAAAAGTTTGCGGACCGGAAACTATGTGATCTTGAGTGACTGAGTTTTAGCAACTGAGTGCGATTCATGGTGCTCAACTGATTGCATACATAAAAGTGGTCCAAAAGTTTTTTTTCCTATCATCTGCTTCTACTTGGCACTGGGACAAGAACATATCAAAGATGAACATCGGACTGAATCTGTGCAGATGATTAGATTTAAATTTAGGTATGACACAAAATTCATTTTATTTTTTCGTGAAATTAATAAGATTCCCAGAAACTAGGCCTCACAGTAAGACCTTAGTTGATTGGAGGGTGAGTGAACTATGAATTCATTTCCTCTTATTGCCAATGTCATTTTATCGTGTTTATTTAGTGTTTACATTTTGTATATAAGCTTGTTATTTTATTGCATGATATTCTAGTCGCCTAGCTAGTAGTTTCGTCTTTGGTTTCTAATCATTTGAATCAATAATACGGTCTTGTGAGCATCCATCACTTGGCCACATCACATAATTGCATTCATTTATCGATTAGCATTTCGCTCATCGGTTCTGACAATCGAAAATTTTATTCAGTAATCATTAAAAATCGCCTCTATAACAGAAACTTAATTATTGTTAACATGTAGAGACGAAGTTTGAGCTTAGTGAACTGTGTATATTTATTAGGATGCAATGGTATAGATCCTAACATATTCTACACACATACCAGTTACATCGTTTATTCTCGTTAAACGTTTACTAGGTCAGTATATTTACAATTCTTTTGCTTAGCATTCTTACCTACTATTTACAGTTGTATAGACAAAAACTAGTACGTTCCAAGGAACTTGATGATTTCCAAAAGACTCGTAATGTAATTAGGTATTTATTAAATTAAATTTATCAGTAACAGTGCAGTTAAGATACAGTGGTTAGCCGCTGAAACAAATCCAGTCTTATTAGATGGTTTGTTCTGTGATGATTCAATAATGTTCCGCATGTGTTGGTGGTTATCTAAAATCAACCATGTAAAGCGTATTAACTTGTTTCCACATTCATCAAATTAACACTCAAAATTTCAGTCTCTATAGAGAATCGCCGGATGAACAGCATTAGTGTAGTCTCAGTATAGAGGTTTGTACAATCTACTAGTCAATGGATCAAGGGCTTCTATCATGAGATTCAAATCGTTACATGATATCACCTCAACCACTACAGTGTGATTTATATATGGTATTGTCAAGTATTACATCATCTGTACAGGAGCCGCGAAAGCTCGTATTTGTCACCTGGCATACTTACTTACGCCTGTTACTCCTTGTGAAGGAGCATAGGCCGCTCACCAGCATTCTCCATCCAACCCTGTCCTGGGCAATCCTTTCAAGCTCTTTCCAGTTCTTATTTATCCTTTTCATATCCGCTTCTATTTCCCGACGTAATGTGTTCTTTGGCCTTCCACTTTTCCGCTTCTCTTCAGGATTCCAAGTTAGCGCTTGTCTCGTAATGCAGTTTGATTTCCTCAATGTATATGCTATCCATTTCCATCGTCTTTTCCTAATTTCCTCTTCAGCTGGAAGCTGGTTGGTTCTCTCCCACAAAAGGCTGTTGCTGATGGTATCCGGCCAATGGATGTTGAGTATCATGCGTAGACAGCTATTAATAAATACCTGTACCTTCTTGATGGTGGTTGTTGTAGTTCTCCAAGTTTCAGCTCCGTACAGTAGAACTGCCTTGACATTCGTATTGAAGATTCTGACTTTGATATTGGTTGAAAGTTGTTTTGAGTTCCATATGTTCTTTAATTGAAGGAGTGCTCTCCTTGCTTTGCCAATCCTCGCCTTGACGTCTGCATCTGAACCTCCTTGTTTATCGACGATGCTTCCCAGGTATGTGAAGGATTCCACATCTTCCAGAGTTTCGCCATCAAGAGTGATTGGATTGCTGTTCTCCGTGTTGTGTTTGAGGACCTTGGTTTTCCCTTTGTGTATGTTGAGGCCTACTGATGCAGAGACTGCTGCTATGCTGGCTGTCTTTATCTGCATTTGTTCGTGTGTATGTGATAGGAGGGCTAGGTCATCTGCGAAGTCCAAGTCGTCTAATTGGTTCTGAGCTGTCCATCGTATGCCGTAGTTTCCCTCAGATGTCGAGGTCTTCATAATCCAGTCGACCACCAGAAGAAACAGGAAGGGAGAGAGTAGACAGCCTTGTCTTACTCCGATCCTTACTTGGAATGCGTCTGTCAGCTGTCCTTCATGCACTACTTTGCACTGTAGTCCATCGTATGAGTTCCGGATAATGTTGACAATCTTCTCAGGAACTCCGTAGTGTCGAAGAAGTTTCCATAACGTCCTCCTATCTACACTGTCAAATGCCATCTCATAATCAATGAAGTTGATGTAAAGTGACGAGTTCCATTCAATTGATTGTTCGACGATGATCCGTAGTGTTGCAATCTGGTCTGTGCACGACCGGTCCTTACGGAATCCAGCTTGTTGATCTCGAAGTTGAGCGTCAACTGCGTCTTTCATCCTGTTCATTAACACTCTGTTGAAGACTTTACCCGGTATTGACAGTAGTGTAATGCCTCTGTAGTTTTCACACTTGCTCAGATCTCCTTTCTTTGGAATCTTGATGAGGTGTCCTTCTTTCCAATCCATCGGCACTTGTTCCTCCTCCCAAATCTTCTTGAATAGAAGATGAAGCATGCTTGTAGTTACTTCGATGTCTGACTTCAACGCTTCAGCTGGTATATTGTCAGGCCCTGCTGCTTTCCCGCTCTTGATTTGTCTGACGGCCATTCTGATTTCTTCCGTCGTTGGTGGATTGACATCTATCGGAAGATCTGTGTGTGCTGCTTCGATGTCCGGTGGATTCATTGGAGCCGGCCTGTTCAGGAGTTCCTCGAAGTACTCTGCCCATCTGTTGCGCTGTTGTTGAATCTCAGTGATCGGTCTTCCTTCTTTGTCTTTGACTGGTCTCTCTGGTTTACTGTATTTCCCTGCAAGCTTCTTCGTCGTATCGTAAAGCTGTCTCATATTTCCTTCTCTTGCAGCTTTTTCCGCCGTCGATGCTAGTTCTTCCACGTATTTTTGCTTATCAGCTCTAATGCTCTTCTTCACTTTCTTGTTTGCTTCTATGTACTCTGCTTGTGCTTGGACTTTCTCTGCTCTTGTTCGACTGTTGTTAATTGCTGTCTTCTTGTTCTTTCTTTCTTTGATCCTGTCCAGTGTTTCTGTAGAGATCCATTCCTTGTGATGATGCTTCTTGGGGCCCAGAACCTCTTGACACGTTGAAGTTAATGTTTCTTTGATACCTTTCCAGCTATCCTTCATAGTAGTTTCTTCTTCCTTCAGTAGATCCTGTAAGGCTTGGAACCTGTTGTTGAGAGCTACCTTGAATTCATTGAGTTTGTCAGTATCTCGAAGGAAGGCTGTATTGAACCTTTGTGGTGCTGTTTGTCCAGTTGTCCAGTTCTTCTTTAGCTTCAGTTTCAATTTGGCCACAACCAGGTGATGATCTGAAGCTATGTCCGCTCCTCTCCTGGTTTTCACATCTTCCATTGTCCTTCGGAACTTTTTATTGATGCAAATGTGATCTATCTGGTTCTCTGTGGTGTGGTCCGGTGAGATCCACGTAGCTTTGTGTATACGTTTGTGTAGAAATGTTGTACCGCCTATGACCAATTTATTGAATGCACACAGATTTGCAAATCTTTCCCCGTTTTCGTTTCTCTCCCAGTCCATGTAGTCCCATGATGTCTTCATATCCGGTGTTGTCTATACCGACTTTGGCGTTTAGATCTCCCATCAGAATGGTGAGGTCCTTTCTTGGGCACCTCTCTATGATTGATTGCAGCCTCTCATAGAATTGATCTTTAACGTCATCGTTGCTATCATTGGTGGGTGCATAACATTGGATAATGTTCATTGTGATCCCCTCCTTCTTTGTTTTGAATGATGCTTTGATGATTCTGGATCCGTGAGATTCCCATCCTACAAGTGCATTTCGTGCTACTGTGGATAGCATTGGAGCAACTCCCTGAGTGTGTGGAGCATTTTCCTCTTCGTGACCGGAGTATAGCAGCATCTCTCCCGTATTTAACCTTTGTTGTCCAGCTTGGGTCCTCTGGGTTTCACTGATTCCCAGTACTGCCAAGTTGTATCTCCTCATTTCCGTTGCTATTCGACTGGTCTTCCCGTTCTCCCACATTGTCCGGACGTTCCATGTACCTATAAAAATTTTTGCTCTGGTTGTTAGAAGGGGCATCGGCCTCGTGGCTTCCGAAGGAACTCGCCTTTCACCATGAAGCGTCATATTACCTCTAACTCCCAGGGCAGAGTTCAAATGGTTTGAGTTATTTTTTCTGGTTAGCGTTTTTTTAGCGAGTTAGGTTTCTACGGGATGGGGACGCTAACCCCATGCCCAACCCTCCTCCTTTACCCGGGCTTGGGACCGGCAGTAACTCTGGCATAAGATAATAATATTGAATTGGATAAAACTTAGTCATCAAATAGCTCAGTGCTTTGTTTTTTTCAGCTACAAATAAACTAAATTTATATTGCTTTCTCAATAAGTTGACGGTACAAAATAATACATTTACGAATGACAACCTCATGGAACGGCTATCGAGAATGTTCGTTTCAACTCCTCATATATTATTGTACTAAGGAGATTTGGGAAAAAAGATTAAACAGGGACGGTGAAGTGTAGGATTTTGACAAAGATAAAACTTTTATACTAAGAAATCTGAGTGGTCAGTGGTTCGTAATTTACCCTAGTAACACAGGTCATCGCACAGAAAAACTTACAAATTAAGAAGGAACGAATCGAGAAAAGAAATTACTTTTCAATTAGTTTTTTTCATCATGGCTTTACACTAATATATATATATATATATATATATATATATATATATACCAAATATCAAGATGGGAATTTTAATAAATTTACAAATTAGCAAAACTTGCCACTGGGGATTGATAAAACTTGTTCGTGATCCTCGCAATACCCAACAGGGCGTAAAAGCTCAGATGATATGTGAGCCCATTGATCAAAGCCCGAGTCCCAACCATCAAAATGAATCAATATATAATCACCGATACAGTCTTTTATAGTGGCAACGCAAGCCAAAGAGGGATTCCGTTTATCTATAGCCTCAAGTTTAAGTCCAACAGCAAACATGTGCGGTGGAGATGCATCAACAGGCTAAAATATAAAAAAAAACTTCAAATCGACAAATTACGTTGATGAAGATTAAGATAAAACTGGAAAATGTGTACTCGGTTGTAGTTCGACAAATGAATTTAGGTACTGTTTATTATCCTTCTGTACTCTATTGATCAAAATCTATTTTGTAGTCAGTAGGTTTTATAAGCAGTTAGTATATGAAGATATTAAGTATTCCAACAACACTCAGCATACACAAATTGTATTGGATTCCAGTGAGAATGTAAAATTAAAGATCATTTGCAACTACATGTACTCATTCAGAAAGTATCGGCTTTAGTAATATATATATATATATATATATATATATATATATATATATATATATATATATATAAGGCGCTTTCATCTCAACGTCTTCAGAGCATAGTTGCCTTTGATGAAACCAGTGATTGTCTTAGATCCAATAAAAAAGCCCGTCAATACATTAATTTGGATACGGCAATGGTGTATTATAAGACTACCTTAACAATATTATGTACAGCCAGCTTTTCACACCTTTAGCATCGGTGCAAATGAGGCTAACACATTCAAGTAATACCCTATTAGTAGCTTTGTGGTTTAAAACATGTAAGCCAGATAAAGAAAAATGTACACTAACTACTAAATTTAAGACACGTTACAACTATGAATTTTTATGTGGTAATATTTTAAATAATCACACTGAAGGGCAAAGAAGCCCTGAGACCATATGCCAGTTGCTTAGACTGACTAGATATATTACGAACGAAAAAGCATTTACTTAAATTTCAGGTAACAAGATTCATTTATTATTTGAATGATGTAACTGGATTCACTATGTAAAATGGGATGTTTAAGTGAATAAGTATTAATTGATTTTTGACTATTGTTTCATCTTTGATGAATCATGTTAACTGACAGGTAACTTATAGTCATAGCTAAATATTTTTTGCATACGAATGATGGTTTTAATTTTTCAAAATGTACTTATAGGTAAACACATAGTTGTTTCATTTTTTTTAATTTAACAAGCTTGGGTCTGGAGGTCATTATAATGAGCGAATTACTGGTTTGTCTCACTTGTTTAGGTACTCAATCAAATCGCTTGATTTGTCAAAAAAGCCTATTAGATTAATTCATTCATCAAGTACATAGGTATGAACCACACTAAGTAGGAGGAACGGGGTTCGGACATAGAACTTAGTAGTCGTGGGTCGAACACCCTAACCACCAAGCCACCGTTTCAGTAGACATTATGTTATTTTAAGAGCTGTCATAACACAACGGTTACCGGATCTACCTAGTCCCTCTATGTAAGAAAGCAATGAGTGAGGAAATAACTACAATATCCAGTCAGTCAAACATGAGCAACATACATATGCACATCGGTTCAGGTTGTTAGACCATATCAGTACAGTAAAAAGAAGCTATCATGACAAATCCTAGAGTAGTAAAAGTAGTAATAATATCGGCGAAAGTAGAAAACAATAGGAATAGTAATATAATTAAATTAAAAAGGAATGGATCCGCGTAATAGAAAAGTGTAAGACAATTTTGAAATCCAAGATGTGAGAGGAGACAAGAAGTGAATGCACCTGAGCAAGTGCGACTGATTCTGAGTTATGCCACCCAGGATGTAACTTCAGGATTAATGTAATCGACATTTAATCACTGAGTCAAAGGTCTGAATCCCGATATATCCTCATTTTGGCAATCGGAATTCCACACAAGTGAGGCTGTAAGTCGAGTGCATAAACCTGTATTTGGTAAGGTACGTTTAACTCAAATTTATGGTGTAAAGAACAAAATCGAACAAACTGGTTTCAAAAAGTTATGTTTATGGTAGCATAACTTTGACATCACAGCTTACAGAATCCCATGGTACTTTAAATGAATGGCGAGGAACTGGTTTGGCTCCTAGTTTAGCCAAAAAGCTTGTCCAATTAAATGGATGATAAGATTCTTCGAGATATTCCTTGGGGGGTTGAAGTTGACGGTTGTTATGTGCACACCATCCAACAGGAAACAAAAAAGGAGAGTCTATTGTTGTCCAGAAGTCATACTTCTCCGGGTAACTAGCAAAATGAAGCTTGACACGCCGTCCTATCAACTCAGAAACACAGAGAACGCAAATTAAGCTTTCATTATGAGGGTCGATACCCTCTAAATACTGACCAGGCTTGAAATTTCCCTCAGGGGTTACATTTTGTCCAGGAAGAATTGATGGTGATGGGACCTTGTTTAAAAGTAATAAGAATGAGTGAAAACATGAAATACACATAGGGGATCAGTTAATAATCAGTAATATTTTATTAACTGGACTGAATGATTAGGACTAGATATTGATAAAACAACAAGTGGTGATCTTAAACCAATTTAAGCATACCTAAAGAAGTGAATAAAACAGATTAGTGACTGGATGGAAATCCAACCTGAACACTATATTCTACTAGCTTTATGGAACTGATACATATAGGACAAAGATAATCAGAGACAATACTAGATCAGATGAAGACAATAATAATCACTAACATGAATGTTTGGTTAAATTCACATGTCGCAGAAAAGAAACAATAAATCAAGATTACTATACTTCTATATAGCACAACATTTTTAGGTTCCAGGAACCTACGAAAATTAAAGGTCCTTTTACAATACTCTAAACATGTAAAGGAATAACTGAATTTGGTTAAGGAATCAAGATGACGTTAAGGACTACATTACAGTTACATGGTTGCGACATGAATAATAACTGGCAATGATGCATTCACACGTACGGCACTCATTTTACAACTGAGTTTAATTCATCGTTGTCTCATCCAATCAACATTTAAGACTATATATATATATATATATATATATACTCCTGGAGAGTCAATACATATAAATTACTGAGATTATCAGTAAAATGACTATGTGAATCGTAGACACGAATTTGAAGGATCTCTTTTACAAACCGCAAACCAAACGTATGTGAATGCTCTTGAAACATTTTACATAAACTTTAGACATTAGTATATGCAATCGGTACATGACATACCTGAACATCAAACGGAACATGAAAAAAGAGAGAAGACTGAACAGGATCTGCATCAATTTCTCTAAGATACTGTGCCCAATCGAAAGGTCCGGGTTCTGGAAAAACAACAATGTAAGGATTGAAATGATTTAGTTGCTAATAGACCTGAAGAACTATCTAAACCATAAAGTACCTAGAAAAATGAAGCAACAGTGCATTCTGAAAGCAAGTTGTTGAAAATTAAGAATACTATCGTAATGTCAATACTGAAAAATATTTGATCCAAATTTTCGACGTTGTATTAGTTCTTATAAATTACAATTTTTTCTCAGGTCACTCTAAAACAACGACATAGGGACTAAACACCTAATAAAGATGTAGACCGTATACAGCGAGACATTGTCTAACAGTTAATAACTAACTTAAAAGTTATCTCGTGTGTCAAACCAAATTTTTTATTAAGATAAGAAAGTAGCACGTGAAAACTCCCATATATCTAACCAAAATGTGAACTACATGAAAATGAATCCCATATTGAAAGTAACAAAATTGTGACAACTGTTAACCCTTTCTGTTATCAATTAATAATAAAAATTAAGTTAAAAGAATAAATTAACTGATAATTTGTGTCGGTTCCAAAAGATTGTTTAACCCACTTGTTTAATTAGTTCAGGTATATACACATTCTCACTTATTAGATCCTGTAAATCATACTAATAAATTGCGATGCTTTACCACCAAATGCTACTCTCCACTTTTAAGGTTTCATCAACAATAAGAATCTACATATTAACATACATGTGTTAAGTATGAGCAAACCCATCTATTTAGTAGTGACTTCTTATACTAAACGGCCTATCTTAGCAAATTAATATGCTACTACAGTAAAAACTTTTCAGTTTCCATTAATTAAACAAAATTTAGTGAGGCTCACTATGATACAAAAACATTCCTATTATTTGAATGTACGGAGTCGATTATATGTCTTTTATTTTGAAAAAAATGTCCTTCGATCCTATTGTAATCAAAGCAAATGTATTTTAACACTTACTGAAGCTGAGAGATTTTAATTACATGTCTTGAATATCATAACACTTTTATCACTTGGAAAGATAGTTTCGGAATATTACTGAAAACAAACAATCTTAATAATTCAATCGTTTTAATATAACTTAACAATGCTTCGAAAAAATAGGCAGTGGGACACTTTGTAGCCACTCAATTTACTACCATGATCTGCAAAATCACTGAAAGTTATTGAAACCCCGTTAAATTCCGCCTTATGCATCAGGAAATAAAAGTGACAATAATCCACACATTTCAATCATAAAAACGTAATTACTGATAACTATGCAGCCTGTTTTAACACTCGATACTATTGCTTTAAATGTCAGCTACCAAGAAACTAAGGTTCAGTCTGATTTGGGGATCACAACAGTCAGATGAGTCTAAGGAAATACGCCTCGAAAACACGAGTGGTCGGTCAGTCACAAGATACGTAAAACCTCGTACATATGTGCATTGGCTGAAGTTTCCACTAGCGTAGTGAAATGCGTGATCAAGACAAATCCAAGAAAAGCAGAATTGGTAAAAGCACTAAATGTTGTACAAAACATTAGGCACGGAGAAAGAAATCATTTTGGCACTCCAGATTTAAATAAACACAAAGGCAGAATGCACCTCATCCGTCTCATTAACCATTACCCGATACCAACTGGGTAATCCGCACCTACCTACACCACTTAGGAAAAGTCAGAAACTTGGCGAACTGATGACACGTCTTGGTTTGCCTGCCCCTACCTTTCTTCTAGTCTCCTACACCACAAAACGTCGCGCGTCGAAATGGGCGGTGGTTAGGCATATGCAACATATGCCCCAACCACCTCAGTTGATGAAGATTCACTATGTAATCGACCAGTTTTTCCTATCTTTACTTAGTGCCCTGCATCTAACCTCAGCATTGCTCATTCAATGGTACCAATATAAACAGACAGTGTTTCGAGGACACCTATGGTCAAATACTTGTTATCTACGATTATTCTTTGGTTTCGAAGGTCATGTCCCACAGTCATAAGGTAGAACCAAGAGAACTGATGTCAGTATACTCGTTCTTTGGTTTGCGAACGGATATCTTGCCTGCGCCACAAATTATCCAGGCTGGTAAAGGTTAATCGGGTTTTCTGAATTCGTGCCAAGATCTCGCCAAACTTCAACCCACTAGAGCTGGTGAGACCTTCAAAATAAGCGAAATGGTCGGTCCGCCCAGCTACTTTACCTCATATAACTAACTCAGCTGCCGAAGCAGACCAGCTCTGATGCAATATTTCCCATTTATATGCAGAAAAATATATGCACCTTAATATGTAAGAGTTGACCTAGAAATTAAAAGAGCAAAATAAATTTGGTTGCTACAGGATTGAACATAAAAACGGACACTTTGCAAGTGATAATACGAGAGAAATTGATCGGAATCAAGATGGCCGACGCCTATCAGCAGCTAATCGTACCCAAGCTGTTGTAATTGATTAGTTCCTAATGATAATTTGAACGTGATCTTGAATTTTACGGAATATATGTTATCAGCCAATCACAAACTAGCTTATAGAAACCTGAAAAATATACTATTGCGGAGAAAGGCGAATGTGCAGTATTAGAATGTCATATCTACACGAAAAATAGTCGAATTGTTGAAATGTCCTCAGGCTGTGGAAAAACTTTGACATAACAGTATAAAAAACTCATCCTGACTTTAATTACTAATGCAATAGCTACTTTCGCTGTTTCTCTCACGACTTTCATCATCTAACCACGAAACAACAGATTTACTAACAAACATAGGATCCAGAAAATCGGATGTATAACAACGAACGAGTAAACCAGGAAAAAATTACTGTGTAACCACCTGAGACTACTTCATAGAATCCTTGAAGTGGCAACCTGAAATTATTTCTAATAAAGAGGAGGGACGTCTAAGAACACATTATTTGTCCAATAAATACGTGAAGTGGGCTTTTGTTTTTAGTTGTGGATATAGATAGGAGGGCTGGTAATTAAATTGAACTTAGACGACCACTATATTAAACTGAACTTGCTAGGGTGTCTGCCCCCAAATGCCCTGGTACGGGCGAGAGTGGGGAGAGTCCGCTCTCCCTCTCGAAATGCTTTCACATGGCCATGCGTATATAGCCTCTGCCAGGGAAGTTCTATTCACTGCCTTCTCGTGGCGGGGTCGTTGTTTACGAAAATGAGAGGACGAAAAGCGAATTTCCGGCGCTTTAACCGGATCCAAAACCAATGGTGCACATGGGCTGGCTCCAGTATCCTCAAGGAACAAATGGCGTATGAGCCAATCGTTGTTCACCGGCTACCATGGGACTGCATCTCCTTACGATGCTCCACTGCCTTGTGGGTCAGAACTTCAGGTCAAAGGCTCGGGGTGTGGCCCCCTAAGAAAACCACCTGCTTCGGTTTGGGCACCCGGGCAGTATCACAGCCCTCACACAAATCAATTGAGATTCGTGTGGCGCATATGTATTTGGTGCCTCCGTGTACCAATACCTATGTGTTAAAATAACTTCTATTCTTGTAATTATATTGTGGAAGCAAGACCTTAAAGACCGAAGGATATGGAGATGAAATAGGAAGTGACGAGGCTGCTGACGGATAAACTACAATTATGTGACCAACAAGTGCATTAAAGCCCTGTTTGTGGTTATATCTAATTGAGTGCCAGATACCTGATGATCTTGTAAATAACAACAAACATATTATAAACACAACTTATTAGAAGTGCTCCAAACAACTAAGGGCTTGAAAGAACGTGACAAACAAAAGCTTGTAAGAAACTGATTATAATAACTAACAAGATCTCTGTAAATGAGATTAGTAGTGTAATCATGCCCAGAGTACCCACAAACGTATTTGATGGGTAAGCCACTGTATGTGGGAGAATATATTTCGATAAATCAACCTCAGCAAAAGTGTGAGTGAATGACGTAATTCGTACGCCTAAATCCTAGTTGATCTACACTATTCAATATGGAGTGTATGATGGGGAGTCAGTCAGTCAGCTGTAACGTAGGACCAGGCACATATATGCATCGGTCCAAGTTGCCACAAGATGAACACCGGATTCATAGAAGTAGTTAGTTCAGTGGTGGTAATATGTAGAAGAAAGATTGCATATAAGGAGATAGTACAGGAAGAAAGAATTAGTTCATTAAGGAGCAGATTTTCTCTCAAATCTATTCATTCTTGCATAAATTGACAAGCTAAGGAGGTTGCGCTGAAAATTAGATTAGACAATGTACTATATTTATTATTTATTTTAACAAATAGATATTGGTTCACGGAGGCACCAAATACATATGCGCCACACGAATCTCAATTGATTTGTGTGAGGGCTGTGATACTGCCCGGGTGCCCAAACCGAAGCAGGTGGTTTTCTTAGGGGGCCACACCCCGAGCCTTTGACCTGAAGTTCTGACCCACAAGGCAGTGGAGCATCGTAAGGAGATACAGTCCCATGGTAGCCGGTGAACAACGATTGGCTCATACGCCATTTGTTCCTTCAGGATACTGGAGCCAGCCCATGTGCACCATTGGTTTTGGATCCGGTTAAAGCGCCGGAAATTCGCTTTTCGTCCTCTCATTTTCGTAAACAACGACCCCGCCACGAGAAGGCAGTGAATAGAACTTCCCTGGCAGAGGCTATATACGCATGGCCATGTGAAAGCATTTCGAGAGGGAGAGCGGACTCTCCCCACTCTCGCCCGTACCAGGGCATTTGGGGGCCAATATACTATAACCTACTTAAGAAACAATACAATAAGATATAACACGTGAGAACACAACCAGATGTTTACCTCCCGATTGCTTTAAAGTTGAGTTATTCATATATATACCATACTGAAGTAGGTGGTTGCGACAGGTAACAGTAAACTGAATTTCGTGATTTTATGGTTTTTTTACGTGAACTGGTTCAAGGATCGTGTACAGTTATCATTGCTACAAATATTGATGACACGAAGATCATCTGGTTATCATATTACGATAATTTATTGGTTTTCATTCTATAACTTTCAAAAGTATAAAATATGGTATAAGCTGCTGAGTGATGAGCACATATCACTAGCCAACCAAACGCGTTTTAAAGTGATCATGGTTTGGATCCAACTAAATTACAAAGAAATATTATGGTATGATTAATATAATATAAATAATTTGAACACCATGTTCATTAATACCAGTAAATGAAGTAGTATGAATTAAGTATGGATTTACACGCTTATTACTACTCTATACCAAGAGTATACTTCTAATTAACATAAACAGAGATCTATAGATATGAAGTGGATTCTTTTTTAACAGGTATAATAAAGTAGGTGATTGTGTAAATATTTACAGGTTCGGTAGAAAATCCACCTAACTTGCATTTAAACATAAATATTATTCCGAAAATAGTGTTTGATTGAAAAGTAAAGAATACGCTGGTGATGGAAATACATACGCAACAACTAAATTCGGATTAAGAAAAACTCACTTGTATGTACTGATGATGAACCACTTTTCTTCGCCAGAGACAAATTTTGAGATGGCTGGTCTGTGCCACGTTGACTAACCTGACGTGAAAAAATTTTGCCTTTTAGTGGCACTGAGTTTAATCGAGTATCACAAGACGTATCAGAAAAGCGCTTTTTACTGCTGTTCACATTGGCTATAAGTGGTCTATATCTGGCTACCATACCAGGCTGAGATTGCACTCGGCCTACAACACAGAATGATACAAAAACATTGGAGGCAAGTCAAGTGCTGAATATCAACGGTAATCTAACTTCTAATATCTCTATTTTTTGCAACAAAACTTACGATACATTAGGACTGATGGTCTGTCAGATTTCCGCATCTTCAAGAAAGCAGATAACTGGACATTTTAATTAGAGCATGAATCATGCGAAACTAACTGATAACCTTTTATTTTGGAGTGATTTTGGGTATTATGTATTTAATTTAATTATGTTTTGAATAAACCACGGCTGTCGTACTACTAGCAAGTACTAACAGGTATACACTATTACAACAAATTTTAGTCAACTCAATAGATTAATATATCATGACAGTAAAATAGTCTAGAAACTTGCCTTTCTAACAACCAGAGTCCAAAGGAATGAGATCTCAACGAAACCACACTGCAAGTAAGGCGTGCGATCAATAGATTGGTCCGCACCATTAAAATGCAATAGAAACGACAACAAACACACGTGTACATGTCTGTCACTCAAATATCCAATATTGATCAAGTAGCCAATTACAGAGTAATTGAGCGATCAATAGATTAGCGGTCAGCCTGTCTAAATTCATCACCAGATTTAAATTCCACACACTGACACAAGTTAAGTGGCTATTATTTAAGGCACATACATTGGGCCAATCAAAATTCAGTAATGGCGAGCAGTGAGCCCGTGTGTTTGGTTCACACTCCTTGAGATCGTGTAACCCAATAGTTGCTGTAGTTGTCTGGGCTTTTCTGTCATTGAATCTCGTGGTTGTGTATATTAACTGCCATTAAGACACGTCACTGACCATTACAGTAATTGGGACGCATGACTCCATAGGGTTTCCGTTAGCTGTTGAGTGGAGACACCATCCAATCACGCGACTAATTAAAAACCATGCTGCATGTTTGAATTTATCTATTTTTCTCAACCTGGATGAAATCAACGGATTTACCGTAAATTGGCTGTTTCTGTATCGCCACTCTCGTGGTACTAAATCATCCAGCTTTTTGCAGCTAGCAGGATATACGGGGCAGGTGGTTTACATATCACAGAAATAGTGGTTGCAAACCAGTTATGCGGAAGCTGTCGAAAAAAAGTATTTGGCTTAATGCATTTTAGGGTACTTGTTTTCGGCGTGTCAATCAAATTTCAGTTTTTGAAATCATATCTTAAATAATCCAGGGTATTGTTGTTTGAGACTTGTCTTCAACTGAGCACTAATTGCTCTGGAAAATTCAAGGAATTCAAAGACGGACAAGGTGTTTATGACGTGAACCCGGGACGCTTTCAAGAAATAAAGTGTCTGTATAAACATCGTGTGTACTAGGGTTGTCACGTGATAATTTTTTAACTGATCCCATTGGGTGTCGCCTCATCTTCAGGACAGTCGTTTCATGATCAAGTAGAAAATCTACATGTAACTTTGAGCACCAATTTTTTGAGATTAATCCAGCCCAAATAACCTTTCATCCAGAAAAAGTTACTAATTATATTATTATATTGAGTAGTTGAATAAGATGAATTTCCATAGAATTTTTTAAAGACTGATTTACAGATCTCCGGTTCGTTATCAACAACTTAGAGCCTATCATATATGTGCATCAACCCAAATTGAAACAGCATAGCGACATGAAATTGTCAAGAGCAATACCAAAGCAATAGAAGTAGTTGTAATATCAATGGTAGTAAAGAGGATTGGGTTAGATAATATGAGCAGGAAATAATTGGTTTGTGGATTAAAGATTAAAAACACTTCCGAAGCTTAGAATTTGAGGCAAGACAAAGGTTGAATGCACCTGTATCTGTAAACGATTTCTGGTCATGTCACCCAACGTCCCCAATCAGCGATTTCGGTTATCAAGCGGATACCAACTGGGTAATCCGCACCTACCTACACCACTTAGGAAAAGTCAGAAACTTGGCGAACTGATGACACGTCTTGGTTTGCCTGCCCCTACCTTTCTTCTAGTCTCCTACACCACAAAACGTCGCGCGTCGAAATGGGCGGTGGTTAGGCATATGCAACATATGCCCCAACCACCTCAGTTGATGAAGATTCACTATGTAATCGACCAGTTTTTCCTATCTTTACTTAGTGCCCTGCATCTAACCTCAGCATTGCTCATTCAATGGTACCAATATAAACAGACAGTGTTTCGAGGACACCTATGGTCAAATACTTGTTATCTACGATTATTCTTTGGTTTCGAAGGTCATGTCCCACAGTCATAAGGTAGAACCAAGAGAACTGATGTCAGTATACTCGTTCTTTGGTTTGCGAACGGATATCTTGCCTGCGCCACAAATTATCCAGGCTGGTAAAGGTTAATCGGGTTTTCTGAATTCGTGCCAAGATCTCGCCAAACTTCAACCCACTAGAGCTGGTGAGACCTTCAAAATAAGCGAAATGGTCGGTCCGCCCAGCTAATTCACTGCTTAACATCAATTTATGTGTTAATATAGGGTTGTCCTGATGATAGGAGCGTAATATATCCCGAAAATGCTTGTATCATGGATCAATGGGATCAAATGACTGAATTTTGCCAGCATCTCCAGTAAACAGTAATGTGTCATCTGAGTATTCTACCTCGACATTTGAGTCTCCTAATAGTAGATTATTCCTAAAATCAGTTAGTGAGTTTGAATGAGTTGAAGTGGTGATTTTAATGTAAAGGTCAAATAAGCCTACAGCTAATGAGAATTTTCTGATAAACGAAATTCATTCACTTAGGAAGTTCATAAGGAGAGGATATGTCACAGAATTAAGCATCAACATAATTTCTTTTTTGAACCCAATAATTTTCTTAACTACTGTTTGTTGTATCTGTTATAGATTAATCACCTTTCCGTAAATACCAATCAAAAGTAAAAACTGAAAATGTGAAAACATAACAAAATATCCATTTCAACAATTAATACCAGATCTTTTTCGTAATTTCCTATTGTATAGTAACTTAGATTGTTGCCTAATGATTATAACTAAAACCACTATCTAGATCGAGCTAGAATATATTCTTGAGGAATATTTAGGTATACTTATCATTGACATTCATTTCTGTTTCAAAATGGAATTAACTATTTACGGGACAGAATTATTTACAGTGTTACATCAAATACATCGCGGAAATCATCAAACTACATCACGACGCAAGCCTAAACTTGAAATTTTGGAGGTAAAAGGTAAAGAGGAAGATCAATGAACACATTGCGTTGGGAGTTGGAAGCAGATATCAAAAGACTGTATTGCACCTGGAAAGGATTGCTCAGAACAGGGTTGGTTTGAGAATGTTGGTGGGCGGCAAATGCTCCTCCACGAGGAGTAGCAGGCGTAAGTAAGTAATCTATATTGGTTGACTTCAATTGTTGGCCCGCATAGTAGTTTCTCTTTTGACGGGTTTTCATACCAAAAGTTAGGGAGTCGCACTTGATTTTTCATCTTGAAACCTTTTCTTTCTTCTGGATGTTCTTATTATGCTGTACTTATCATACAACCCATCATTACAGATACTAAACTTATTATCGATCGTGAAAGACTATGGCAAAGAAAAGATAGCTGCATGTCCCGATATTCATGTAACAGTTTCACTTAAAACCACTAGAACGTCCGTGGTGCTTATTTCAGACCAACCGTAGCTTAATTTGAAGTTATACTATTACAATTTACTTGACATATTTGTTTTCCAAATTATTTGAAACTTGTTTTCCTTGGAACGAAATATGACTTTTTAAATGAAATAAGTAGGAAAAACGATAAAATGGGTAATTTTGTAATATTTAGTCGTAAATAGACTTTTGTTAGCTTATGAATTTAACGAATAATTCACCTAAACAGTAAGTAAATGGAACTAGAAAAGAACTGAATTATCTGAAATATTGGCTCAGTATGTACACATGTAATAATAATACAATTCTCTAAAGTTAGAAGTACACGAACTGAACGTAAGGAAATATTGAAAACGAAACTAACATGAAAACCAGTTGGGTTTCATCTTCTTTTATACTTGTCTATAAGTTATTCTATTATCTATTATTTCGTAATATATTTCTTGTAATAACCTATACAATATCGAAATAAACTATTTTCCACTCTTTCGGAATTGCTTAACAATTATTTGATTTCCCTTTGAGTGTTTTTGTTATTGTGGTTTTTGTGTAGCATTTCTTTATGAACAAAATTACTAGGGTTAGTTTACCACTGTGGTGTTTATTCAATTCTGTTAACTTTAAATTATGAGCCCACATTTACCTGGTATTACAAGAAACCTGATCTTTAAATCTGTCAATTCATATTACTCATTAATGTTATTTGACACAGACTTTGAGTTGAACTAGAGGAAAGTACCACCTTTATAGCTTCAAATGTAGCAGGTTATGGAACAGAATCCTGTGGATACTCGTTTTTCCAGAATGTCATCTCAAAATATATGATTAATACCTAGTCATGTTACCTAGTGATTGTAAGTTGTACTCGTTAGCCAAAAATTTTATTTTTCAACTACAGAACGTCTATACATTTCACACTTGTGTAATAACTAGCTTGAGCCTACGGTTTTTATAATAGATGTCTGCATTGTTTTTAATCTACTTCATGTATTCTTGATTTAATGAATAAATTCAATTTGATTAATATATTTGGAATTATTACCGGGCCATCCCCTTATTTGAAATAGTTCTTGTACTTACTGTTTTTCAAATCTGTGATAATACATATATTGACAACAAAATAATCGTGTTTATTTGAAAATTCAACATTCATAATTAATGGTGGAAGATTTCTCACTGATGTTCAACAAATCACCTTTACAATACCTCAGTATGTTGAATTTTGGAGTTTTAGGTAATAATTTTAACCCTTGACAATTTAAGAGTGATGATATTTTTCCGGTATTAGTAAAATACACTTTATTGCAGTTCGTCAAAAATTGCATTACAACCCAAGGGGTATATTTCGAATATAGGTATCGTAAACTGCGAAGGGCAGCAGCTTTCTGCAACATCCCTTCAAAGTATGGATCTGATTAACATAATCTTCCGAACCGCTTACATAGTGAAATTCGTCAGTAATTTACCTCTGAAACGTGACCACAGAATGTCTTCATCATAATAATCTTTCGGCCTAATTAAGTAAACCGGTAACTAAACTGTGGGTATAATTAGACCAAACATGACATTATCCATTACTTTTAGTGGATGACTTGATTATTTCACAGTCAATAGAATTTCCAAACATTTTCTTAGAATCTAATTATTTTTCTAAATATTAGAAAAGGATATATCAAAGTTTTGAATGAAACAATCAGTTAGTTCTTTTGGAATCTATTTTGATTCGTCAATAAATATTATTCCAGTAAATTTACACAGGAAAGCTAAACAACACATTTGTGATTTAAACCATTACTAGGTAATTCACTAATGATAT